TTATTGAGAAAAGAAACACTAGAAAATGGTGTCGGATTCTACTGTTCGATATTATCTTTTACAACGTGGAATTTTCACTCCTTCACAAAAGAAACTGTTAACAAAACCTTTTGCTTTATTTGGTAAATAAATTCGATACCATTTTTGACTAAATGTTTGTCCATCTGCACTTGGTTGACCAGTTTGATAACAATCACTTGAATACTTCTGATAAATTTGAACACGACCAACTGGAGAACATGTGTCGGATGGACATCGATGAACTCTTCCACTATGTTCACACCTAACAATATTTCTTTTCATCTAAATTTGATTCAAATTAATATTTTTATTAAACAAATTTCAGTTGTTTATTTTATGAGTTTGAATGATTGGAACTAAAAAGTATAAAACTAAAAACCATTGAAAATATTTCATTTCTTTTGCAGTATGAAATCGAATTTCATTGAAACTATTCTTATATAAAAGTATTCCTGTTTGGATTTTCCAACGTACATTTATATTTTCACTTGCACAAATTAAACAAAACATGAGTTTGTTCTTTCGTAACAAACGAAAAGAAAAAAAATCTAATGTTAAATTGCAACACCATTTTTACTTCCTTCGATGACGATGAAGAATAAAGGTTAATCATATTATTTGTTATGACGTTATTTATGAAATTGAATGGCATCAGAATAGAATATTTAGGAATCAATTACCATAAGCTTTTCACACACTGAATTTCATTTACATTTCTTTTTCATTACATTTCGAAGAAAAAACAAAACTTTCTTCGAAAAAGAGAAGTATTGATTCAGAAGAATATTGCTGATTTCGCAGAGAAAATGCACTCAAAAGTCAATCAGAGTGAACAAACAAAAGTACTTTCGAAATTTCATAGAGAATTATAATCATCACAATTCAATATTCTTGATCTTGATGGATCGTACTTTTAACAAATATTCATAAAAAAAAGTTGTCAGGAAAGATAAACGTTTACTCAGAATGACTTTTTTGTTCATTTTCAAATTGATTGATCACTTCATTATCGTTTTATACGAAATCAAATTTCATGTTCATCAGAAAAATAAGATTATTGTCGAGATATTATGAAAAATGATCTTCTAGTTCACCTTGTAATCTCAAGAGAAAATAAATGATCAATATCTAAAGAGTTTCTGATTAGTTATTTGAAAAAGAATCGAAAACACAAGGAGAAGATTTATTCTTCTTTTTTTTTTGAAAAATTCGAAGAAAATAGATGTCGCACATAATCGAAAACATTGATTGGAGATTTCTTTTTCCATCCGGAAAAAAAACTTCTCGATGATTCATATTTGTGTTTCTTTGGTTCATAACAAAGAGAACAATAAATTATTCTTTTAGANCATGAAATTTGATTTCGTATAAAACGATAATGAAGTGATCAATCAATTTGAAAATGAACAAAAAAGTCAAGAGATTTGTGGTCAAAAGTTGTTGAAGAAGGTATCGAAGATCGTGTTGAAGTCAATCAACGAATGTTAATTGATAAAATGTTGGCAAGATATTCATCAGATTTTGTTGTTTTAAGAGAATTAATTCAAAATTCTGATGATGCACAATCAACTTCATTTACTTTACAAATTTTTTGTGAAAAAACTAATTGTCAAATAGTTGATGAAGAGGAAAATCATCGAAATTTATTTGAAAATCTCGGAAATTCCATTCGAAATTACTTAACAACTAATTCTGAACATGTCAATGAAGAAAATCAATTGGAAAGTGAATATCATCATTGTTTAATTAGTGAAATTCGAACAAAGAACAATGGAAAGGTATTCAATGAAGATGATTGGAAACGCGTGATCACAATAGCTGAAGGAAATACAAATGTTGATGCTATTGGACAATTTGGTGTTGGTTTCTTTTCTGTTTTTTCGTATTCAGAAAAACCAATGATCAAATCAGGAAAACATTGTTTAGCTTTTGCTTGGCAAAATGGAAAATCTTTAACAACATTTCGAAAAGAATTACCGGAAAATGATCAATCAACATCAACTGCAATTCTTCTTCCAATGAAAAATTCCTTTCTTTTAGAAACAAAAATCAACGTTCAAATGAATAAAAAAGGACACATTTCGTCGACGAATCGTTCGAAAAAATCGAAAAGAAATGCAATTACAAATGAAATTCTTCCAATTCTCAATTTGAATGAATTAAAAACTTATTTAATCAAAGTTCTTTCGTTTACAAAGTACTTAAACGAATTAATTATTGAAATAAATCAACAAATCATCTTTAAAATAACAAAAACCATTGAAATAATTCCACAAAATAGATTTTCATCAAATATTCAACGATTAAATACGAATTCCAATCATCAATTCATCTTTTTCAATTCGTTAATTCAAACAAAACAAACGTTCTCTATTGAAAATTCCTCTTCAATAACATTAAATCATCTGGATGTTGAAGCGAAGATTCGAATGGAAAAATCTTTTCAAACACAAATTGAAAATGTTCTAAAGAAAAGTTTACCTTCAACGATTCATCTTCTTTTTTTATTTCCATCTACTCAAGTAACATCAAATCTCTTCTTTTCTCTTATGTTTTTTCTTTCTCTTGAAGATCTTCGAAGAAGAACAATGGAAATTGTTAAAAGATCGAAATTCTTTATTGAAACATTTAATTCCATTGAAATTAAATGAAAAAGAAATTTTACCTGATGGTCAAATCTTTATTGGTTTAGCAACACATCAATCAACAGGAATTGGAATGCATCTTTCTAGTCATTTAATTCCAACAATTGAAAGAGAAAATTTAGATTTACAAGATCCATTTATTTCTATTTGGAATGAACAATTATTAATTTCAATTGGACAAATTATTCGTTTTATTTATGATCAAACAATTCTTCATTTAGTTAATCAATTAGAAAATCAATCTATTCAACTTATTCATTCAATTCTTTCTCCATATGCTTTTATTCAATCATCACCAAATAAAGATATTGGTTCGTCTCTTCTTCTTCTTCTTTTTGAAAATTCTCTTTATTTTTATTTTCAGGTCGAATTCTTGTCGAAGGTTTTTTCTCTTCTGATAAAGATATTCTTGTTCCTGTTCGTCGATGTCCAACTGATAAACATTTATCATTGATTCCGTCGAGTGAAGCATATTTAATTCGAAATGATCGTTTAGAGAAATTTCTTCCAATTCCTTTGGTTCCGTA